TGGGATTATACTCTGATAACTGTTTTATTATATAATATTTTGAATGTCTTATTAAAATACAATTGGTGCCTTGATTGAATTAAAAATGAAATTTTTACCTCATAATTTTTTATGGGTAAAGTTAGAAACTTTATCCTTCTAGACCATGTTTCAGACCAAATCTAAGTTTTGGGAGCTCTTAGGATCGAAGAAAACAACTTAACCCATTAAGCTATTGGAAACCTAGCACCCACGGCGTGGCCTTCGGTCACCAAGGAGTGACAACTGGGAAAATGGCAACTATTTCAATGTATGAGGGCCACGGTGTGGCGGTGGACTAAAGTCAACATTAACTATTGACTAAATCAAAAGTTCTTCGTTCATGTATCAGGTGTTTTGTTGGATGGGGGTACACCTGAATTGTTAAGGATTGGGGGTAAATGAAGAATTTCAGGAATTCTCATCGTTGCTCATAGGTCCAGTGGTTGGAATGACATGTTAGGGAGTCACGGGTTAATTAAAGGCTTTTGGTGTATCTTATGGATTTAGGTCTAGTGGGGAATTTGCAATGGATGTGTTTGGGTTCTTTTCAGATAAGGTATTGGATTCCTGGTTTTGAGCTGAGTAGTGATGGTTGTCCTTTATCAGTTAGCGTCAGCAGGATCAAGGATTCGTCCATCATCAGTAGAAGGGTCCTGTTTTGAATGGGTTCGATTAAGGGAAGGCCATCATATGGCAGGGTCGACTTTTATCTGGGATATGGTAAGTGGTCGGAAGTATATGTTTACGGGTATCTGTAGATTTGTTCATGCCGAATAGGTTGTTCGGTTCGGGTTGTGAAGTTGAGTCTGTGTGGGAGCAATTTTGATTGGTTCTGTCTGTCTTGGATTCCAACATTGTTCAGGGTTTTCAATTTCAGGTATATCGGTTGGATACTCGTTGGCTGAAGGAAAAGTTGAGGTTTATTCTTCGTTAGGGCTTGTGATATCTTCTATTTTGGGTTCGACATCAGTAGGGGTGGGTGGTCATCTGAGAGAGGTGATTTCCCCAATCATTTTGGGATTCAGGGAGTTCAGTCAGGATCGTTTAAGCCGGTAAAGGAGATAATGATGAATGATTTCGAGGACGAAATCTAATTTAAGTGGGGGAGAGTTGTAACACCTGGAATTTAAGTAGCAAATTTGGGTATAAATCACCTTTTGGGGATTGGACACAGCGTGTTGGAGGCACCAACACGGTGTGTCGAGATAAGTAAATACGCATGTCTCATTAAGAGCAACACAGCGTGTTGCCTCCTGGAACACGGCGTGTTGGTTGCTGGAAATGAAACCCTAATCTTCCGGGTTTTTGCCCCTATTTAAAGGAATAAGGAGGCTAGGGTTTGTTCACCCTCAGCCCCCATCAGCCCTCAAGCCCTGAAGGAAACCCTAATCATCTTTCCCTCTCAAATGTGAGCTAGTGTGGTGTTTTGGAGCCAAAGAAGGAAGAAATTGGAAGAAGGAAGCAAAGATCGAACAAGCAAGTCCCTCATCTTTCATCTTGACACTCTTCTGGACCTTTTAAAGTGTCCAAGATATAATTTTTATCATTCCATGTTGCTAGATCTTGGGTTTTGTCCCTTTAGCTTCATATTCTTGAGAGTTGGAAGGGTTAGATCTCATAAAAAATGCAACTTTATGAATCCCCAGGTCAAGGTGACCTTATAAAGTATTGGATCTGGCTTATAGTTGAGTTTTGATGTCATGAATTGAGATTAGTTCATAATCCTCATTATTGACCTAATATGGGTTCAAGACATGCATTGGACATACATGTTTATAAAGCACCGACCTTTGGGATGGTTTTAGTGCTAGAACCTCTTCTGGAAAGTATTGGGCATCAACTTTAAGGATTGAGTGCTTATTGGTTAAGTCCTTGCATCTTCTACCTTTATAGATGGGTTTGGACCCTTTGGAGTAGTCCCAGAGGATAAAGTTAGAAACTTTATCCTCATTCATATCATTTTGGTCTAGATCTGAGCTTTGGAGCTCTGGGAATCGAAGGAAGCAACTTAATGGATTAAGTTGCTGGAACTCTGGCAAACACAACGTGTTTGCAAGTCAACACAGTGTGTTGGCTGGGGTTTACCCCGACTGTTTGGATGCGGGAGGAACATGTCGTGTTTGCAAGTCAACACGGCGTGTTGGAGTCAACGTGGACTGTTGACTTTGACTTTTGACTTTTACCAAGTTGGCCTAAAGGGTATTTTAGGTGTTTTGGTATTTTGGATTTTGATGGTTATTGGTCACTTAGATGGATAGGTATTGGTTGGAGCTGAGATTCGGAGTCGGGACCTTATCAGCTATGGATCAGATCGAGAGGTGGGTTTTCCTCACTTTACTTTCGGGTCGAAGACACCAATGCCGACCCATTGGTTTGATAACCTAATATTCGTTAATATGCTGGGTATGGAATAGATATGCATGCTAGTTTGATATGCTAGTCCGGTAGATCTGTAGGACTGCCTGCGACACTATTTGTATGATTATCAGTATATGTTATTATCTGTTATATGTCGGCGTATTGGGTTGGGTTGAGGTTGTACTGCTCTGTACGGGTAGCCAACAAACCCTGGAGCAATCCAGATATGAGCTAAGGGTTGGGTAGGGCATGCCAGACTCATACTGAGGGCTCATTAGCATTCCAGATATGAGCTGAGGGCCGGGTAGTGCATGCCAGACTCATACTGAGGGCTTAGTAGCATTCTAGATACGAGTTGAGGACCGGTTGGTATGCCAGACTCGTACTGAGGGCTAAACATTTGTGTGTCATTCTAATGACTGATTATGCTAGGGAGCAAGCCAGACATAAGCTGTGGGCAAGCCAGACTTATGTTGTGGGCTCAGGAGCAAACCATATATGAGCTGTGGGCCCGATAGGCAAGCCAGACTCATACTGTGGGCTCAAGGGTAATCCAATCTTTTAGGTGTAGAACCCATTGCATGTTGTTATTGTATATGTGTTAATTGTTTGTGTGGGTACTTTGGGGGAACTCACTAAGCTTCGTGCTTACAGTTTTGGTTTATGGTTTCAGGTAATTCAGTGGATCGTGGCAAGGTGAAGACGTGACCGTAAACATCCTCGTGTTGTTGGAACTTATGATTTCTGGGAGACTCTGATAATGAAAATGTTTTGAAAACTATGTTGTAAACAATTCTGATTTTAAATAATGTTTTAGAAACATTGGTTTTTGTAAATACCTCTTTAGTAAATGAGTTGTTTTGAAAAGTTAAAATTTGTTGAAATTTTTGGGATGTTGCATTCTTCGAATCGTGGGAGGTCAAAGGCGTCATTGTATACACACATCACCAATTTTATGATTTTGAGATTCCACGATGTTTTTCTTATTACTTAGATTTGGATTATTGTTTATGAACAAAATGGTTTTATCTTAATTATAACATGAGTGTTTGTCTTAAATTAAAAATGAAAAATTTATTGTGAAAACTGGGACGTTACACTTTATTAATAATGTTGTACTGACATCTAACTAGACTTATTGTTTTAAACTCAATAAAAAAATATTGGATCTTCGTTAGATGTATTTTATTTGTTTCATGCATTTGCATTGCATGCAAGTGTTACAATTCATGCATTTTTACATTTTTCAGGACTTTATTTATAGATTGGTTGAATCTTTTTATTTTCATACTACTTAGTTGATTTTCAAGACGTTTGAAGACTAGATCATGTTTAGGATGATGTTGAGGTGTTAAATATCAAATTTCCTGAAAATTGGAGAAGAATTAAAAAAGTAATTTTTTTCGAAGAAATGACTTACTCATCCCAGTGGCTTTCCGCTTGACTTCCACCCGATTTAGTCAAAGAAGAAGAAGAAGCAAAACACATGTTTTTGAAGGTCACTTGGTCGAGTGGAATTACATGGAAAAAATTACTCAGTCGAGTGGATGTGAAATATCGGTTTTGAGCCTATAAAATACCTACTTAGGTCAGAACTACTTTTAATCCTGACTTCTCAAGCAAAAAAATCACAATTTAGAGACAAATAAGGTTGGAGAACTCATTTGAAGCATCATTTTGGTAAACTTTAGTTTAATGAGCTTGATACGGTTGTTAAATTACATTTTTGATTGTTCGATTTTCTCCATGAATGACTAAAAACCTTTTTTTTTGTTTCTTGTTCGACACTCATCTACGTATGGGTGATTTCATTAAATTGACGTGTTGAATAGTTTTTTGTTTACAATAAAAATAAATTCGTTACAACACACACCATCATATTAAGATAGAGAATAAATTCCATTTGAATTCCATACCTCCAAAACCATCTCTTCAAAAACCATCAATTTGTAACAAGAAGTTACCAAAGGGCTTCTAATCCAGCGCTATCTGGTGTTGTCATCTATCATTAAGCTTGAAGGTTCAAGTCCCGCAATGGACATAGGTTGAATTAAGAAGTAGTTTAAGAATAGAGGTAAATAACGACGAGTTAACATTTTTTTTCCGAAACGGCTAAACATTTTAAATGTTAATAAAACAACTAACATGATTTTTTTCTTTATTTGTCTCATTTATATTGTTGAAATGTTGCTCTAGCATATTAATTCTTTGTTTCGGCAAAAGGTGTCTCGCTTATGTCATTGGATAAACAGATTAGGCAAGTTAAATGTGACGATGTACATGACAATGATACGTTAAAAAAATCTTGCTTATATCATTATCTCATGTATTAATCGATTTCATTATAATATTTCGATTTTTTGTCTTTACTTATATGATTATATCACCAAATTAAGTATAATTTAAATTTATATTAATTCTTAAATAGCACAAATCTCATGAGGAATCTTTTCATATCCACCAATCCACTTCATCGATCAAGGCTTTTTTTCATTATCCGTAGTTAATATTATTTGTTATTATGGATAAATATTATAAGTAAATAAAATATGCTTTTAATACGAGCCAAAAATAGAGTGTATTTATAAATTTTACAGGTTATATTAATATATTATCGGATCATGGTAAGAAAATATAGATATGTTATATTATAATTTATAAATAATAATAATAATAATAAATAGAAAAGATTGCAAGAAATCAAGAATGAATTTGGTTCCTATTTTCGCGCAACTGAATAAAAAATTGTTCAAAAATATCTCGTTCATCGTCATCGGTGCTCAATAATTTGGTGTTGCAAGACTCTATATCACCCTCCAATCATAAGGCGTCGACACCACAAGCAAGCATAACATAAGGTCAAATGTTTGAGCTTTTTCTCTTTCTTTTCATTTTCATCCGGCGGGAGGGAAGGAAGTAGATGAGTATACGAAACACATTTTCTCTGCTTCTACGGAACTGTTCTCTTAATCTTAATCCAATACAAGATTCCCCTTCAACTCAATTGCATTTATTATTTGCGAGCTTCGTGTGTTCTTGGTGCAAGTAATTTGTCTTACAGCCTGAGCCTGAGGTGAGTTCGCTTTTTCCTCTTTTTTGTTTGATTGATTATGAAGTATGGATGGATGATCGCAGTCGAATATTTTGTTTTTTCGTTTTTAGTTTTAGTTGTTTGTGGTTGTTGGCAGAAGAGTCAAGTGATTGTGTAAGTTTCATGGACTTTTTCACTTATTTGTTGTTTTCTGGAGTATATGTGGTTTATCCGATCATCGAATGTTGTTGACCTGAGTGTTCTCTGTAAAAATTTCCGATTCCTTCCATATAAGTCCATCATCTACGACTAAATCCATCTGATAGCTGTATATACAACTATTCTTAAAGATATTTGCGTGATTTTGATTGAGGTTTTTTTTTCTACTAATGTTCATCATCGTATCTTCCCTTGAGGAGGGTTAAGTATCACATGACCTTCCATATGTTTTGATGTTGATTTGTAGTTGAAGTTGAAGTTATGTAGGAATGATTAGTCAATTTACTATAACAGGGAGTTGATTCTGATCCCCAAAAGTAGTCAATATTTGGCCCCAATTAGAACTAGCAACCATTTCTATTTCAAGATAACCTTTCAATTCCTCTCTTTTTCGCCAACTTTTGAACTTAGAACCTCTTTGGAAGATGACATAATTACATAATTTGAACTTTGAAGTTATAACCTATTTGACAAACATATTTGTTGAATCCATTTTTATGCAGTCAAAGGGAGTAGTTTTTAGTTGAAAGTTGGTCAAACTTATTAAAAAAAAAACATTAGTAGTTACATTCAACTACAAACATTAATAGCATAGAAACATTTCAGAGTCAGAAAACTAAAATCTCTGTGTTGATTATGACCTTGAAAATGATATAACATCTTTTTGCAAATAGGTGTTAGAAAGTAACTCAATGGAGCATCATCTACAAAATTCTGTTTCAGGTGAGTGGTTATATGATATATCTCTCTCTTATCATATACTGATATAACAAACAAATGAACAATAATATATATTATCTTTTCCATACAGGTCACCTAGAAGCTCAATTTGCCTCAACAATATTTCAAGAAATGGAAAGCGAATGGGGGATTCGACACACAAAGGATAAATATCAAGCAACAAGTGACATAAGCTTATTTTCAAGCTCATTACCTGTCATTCCACACGAAAAATGTATAATGGTTAATTGATTATTGATTATGTTAATCAGTTTTATCATATTACTTTAAAACAACATTTGGTTCAAATCTTGTTGACTCACAATCCAATAAACAATCTGTTGAAGGTGGAAGTGAAGATACACATACACTTGGTGATATCACAAACAGTTTAACAGGAAGCATGCTTCCTGGTGATGAAGATGAACTATTAGCAGGCATCACGGACGATTTTGACCTTGGTGACTTACCTACTCAATTGGAGGATTTGGAAGATGACTTATTTGAAAGTGGAGGTGGAATGGAAATGGATTTTGATTCCCATGATGGAATTCGATTTGGTCTCTCCAATTTAACCATGTCTGATGGTGTCCCTTTAATTGGTATTAATCTCCTCAATAGTGGGAACACAGTTGTTGTTGGAGAACACCCTTATGGTGAACATCCTTCTAGAACATTATTTGTTAGGAATATCAATAGCAATGTTGAAGACTCTGAACTGAAATCCCTCTTTGAGGTACTTCTTCAAGATTCTTTCAATTTTCTCTTATGCAACTAACATTTTAATGGAAAAATATATTGTTTTTTTTAGGAATATGGAGAAATCAGAAATCTTTATACTGCATGTAAGCACAGGGGTTTTGTGATGATATCTTATTATGACATTCGACATGCACGAATTGCAATGAGGGAGCTTCAGAATAAGCCTCTGAGAAGAAGAAAGCTAGACATTCATTTTTCTATCCCTAAGGTTTGTTTTTTGTAATTGTGGCATAAATGTAATATTATTGTTGTTATTTACTTATTTATATTTGTTTTTGATATACATACAGGATAACCCATCAGAAAAAGATATAAACCAAGGGACTCTTGTTGTTTTCAACTTGGATTCATCAATATCTAGTGATGATCTTCGTCACATATTTTCAGCTTATGGGGAAGTCAAAGAGGTGATGTTTGACTTTCTTTTCCAAAGACTTCAATTACTTTCTTCTGTGAATACATTTTTGACATTTTTAACAGATTAGGGAAACACCAAACAAGAGACACCATAAGTTTATTGAATTTTACGATGTTAGAGCTGCTGAGGTGGCACTGAAAGCTCTAAACGGGAGTGAAATTGCTGGCAAAAGGATAAAACTTGAACACAGCAGGCCTGGTGGTGCTCGTAGAAGGTATGTATATGTATATGTATATATCAATTTTGTAAAGTGGAGGGACTTCAACAGTTAAAAAGGAATTAACGAGGGACTAAAGTCGACAATTCACATTTATGTAGCATGATGCAACAACTGAGTCAAGAACTAGAACAAGATGAAGCTCGAGCTTTATGGCATCATGTTGGTTCACCTGTCATCAACTCTCCACCTGGTTAGTATTTTTTTTTTTAATTTATACTTTTTATCATTTAAGAAGTTATTTTTATTAATTTTATTTTTGCAAAATGCCACCTGGCAGGTAGTTGGTCATCAGGTTTTGGAACCCTTAGCCCTGTTAACACCACCCCTTTACATGGGCTTGCATCCATACTTCCACCACATATTTCAAACCCCATGAAAATTTCACCAATTGGAAAAGATCAACAATCAAGTTCAAGATCTTTCCCTGATCATCATAACACATCATCATCTTTTCTTGATTCCAAATTTGACCCTTCTTCTAGTATTGGTACCCTATCTGGCCCTGAGTTTCTCTGGGGTAGTCCAACTACTTATTCTGACCACCAAAGTAATTCTTGGCGGGCATCTCCGGTGGGCCCGTTTAGTCCTAGTCAGCATGGTACATTCCTGGGACCACCACATCATCATGTAGGCTCTGCGCCACCTGGCATACCTCTTGACAGGTCAGAGAGATCATTCATGTATAACGGAAGCCAGATGGGTTCTTTTGGTAAAGGACAGATGTTGTTTGGTAATGGTTCTTATCAAGGAAGGGGGGGAGGATTGAATGATGGATTAATGGTGGGGAATCGAACTCGGCGAGTTGACTCCAGTGTGACTCAATTAGGGAACAACAACAAGCAGTATCAACTTGATTTGGATAAGATTATTAGTGGGGAAGACATGAGGACAACTTTGATGATAAAGAATATTCCCAATAAGTAAGAAAGTAACCATCTTTTTTTGTTTTGTTTTATTATGTAAAGTAAATCGTTGGTTTTTTTTTTTTTTTTAATATTTTTTTTCTTGATATAAGGTACACTTCAAAGATGTTGCTTGCAGCCATTGATGAAACCCATACGGGTACCTATGACTTTGTGTATTTGCCGATTGATTTTAAGGTAATTTATAGCCAAGAAATCACCTTTATTGACAAAACAAAAATCGTAATTTGATTTATCGTTGATGTTGACAGAATAAATGCAACGTGGGTTATGCTTTTATCAACATGGTGTCTCCTTCACACATTATCTCCTTTTATGAGGTACTATTTTTCTACCCTTACACATTTTCAAAATTCAAGTTTAATTTTGTTTACTTGTTGTTGTCCAGGCATTTAATGGAAAAAAGTGGGAGAAGTTTAACAGTGAAAAGGTTGCGACTTTGGCGTATGCACGGATTCAAGGGAAAGTGGCACTCATAACACATTTTCAAAATTCAAGTTTAATGAATGAGGACAAATGGTGCAGGCCCATTCTATTCCAGTCAGAGGCCCAAGGGAATGATTATCTGGTACTGTATTCTTTCGTTTTTTTTTTCCCATAAAATGATGTCTGATACCATTCCAAACTCCATTCATAACCGGTTTTGAATCTTGCAGGATTCCATTCCATACCATAACATGAACATATGTATTCGTCAACCAGACGGATCTTACTCGGTGGATTCATTTGACAGTTCCAACAGTAGTCTGGAAGAAAACCAGAGTTGACCAAAAATTACTTTTGAAGGAGTTGGTTGCATTTTTTCACTAATGGGAATTCGGTTTATTGTATTGAGAGCAAGAAGTGGTTGTGTCCAAAATTGTGGCTTTGTGTAAATTAAAAATAATTGAAACTTATTTATATATGTGAATTAGAAGTATAGTCGTTAGGGTCTGTTTTCAAGTGTATAGAAGTGAGGCAACAGATCCCGGATGTAACTGTTATTGAAGGATATGAAGTTATGGTGCAAAGACATGATCATAATTTCAAAATAATCATATCATTGATGTTATATGTAATATATATGGTTATGGAGGTATTTTATAACATCTAGCAAGTTTGAAATTTGGATCTTTTGTGATAATGCTTAAAAAATTGATGTTGTAAGCTAACAAAAATAAGTAAAATACATGGTTATTCTAAGTTATTGTTGATTCCAAGTCTCCCATGAAAAGATGCATGATTACATGATAATCACAAGTCAACAGTCAGATAAATACTCTGTTTAATCGTTAAACACTCCATAACATCATCATCATCATCAGAATTCATAAACAATCCAACCAATGCACATCATATTTGAAGTGCATCTGCAATCGATCCTGCAAGACTCAAGACTTCAAAAGGAGCTTTCTTTTCAATGCTTTTCACAGTAGGACAACATGAGTCAGTGATCCAAAAGTAGGCAAATCCCTTGCTAGAGTTTTCTGCACATAGTAACAATCCATACTTATGCTACACACAGTAAAACACACACACACATGAGAGAATGAGATATACTTACCACCATTTTTGTGTGTAAATTTCTCCCAAGAGTTTTTAGGAAACACTGCATGAGTGACATAAGCACTCACCTTGGTTGCACCATGAGCTGCCAAAACTTTCTGCAACACAAGAATCATTATTATATCTGTATATATGAAACTCATTGAAATATTATTATAAGTATATATATATATATATATATATATATACTTATATATATATATATATATATATATATATATATATATATATATATATATATATATATATATATAATAGCATAGCACCAAAGAAAAACATATAAAAAAGTAGTACCTGACATTCAATTAAAGTGCCTCCAGATTGCACCAAATCATCAACAATCACCACATGACATCCCTCAGGATTACCTTCTTTCAGCCTTACTATTCTTTTATCACCCTCACGAACTTTTGCACAAACCACCTGTCATTCCCAATATCATCACCACATTACCACAACTTGTATATAAAAATCAACCAATTTCCATTTTTACCCTTTTTCTAAATCAAAAATTTATCTCACCATGGGAAAGTGATCCAAGAGCTTGTGAAATCTTTTCCAAGCTCCATCATCTGGAAAGGCAATTACAACCTGAAATACCAAGAAGAAGAAACACATTACTATGCAAAAAATACAAAATTTTAGAATTTTTTATATTAAATTCAAGTGCTAACTTTATCAGCATCAGGAAGCTGGTGAAGTCGTTGCTTCAAGAGAGGAATCCCAGTTTCAAAATAAGGCAAAACATTGTCACTAAAGTAGAATCTTTCCTGGAAAGAATACGTGAACATTAGCTTAATAGTATGTAAGTATCATAATATGATTCTTTTAAGTATTATATATATTAAGAAACTTACCTGTAAAGCATGTATGTCATATATGACTAAGCTTGTTGGACCACCTCTTGATATTGGAATGTTTGATAAGATTCTTGCCATGGTGAATGCAGTAGCTACATCTCCTTCTTCTTCCATTCTTTCAAAGGATCCAGTTGGAAAGAAAGGTAATACCAATGTGAAAGAAGCAACAAAGAGCCTTGGAAGTGCAAATATCACAGAGAGTTGCTCAAATATTACAGATGGGGAGCTGAAAGATGCGAGAAAAGAAACATGCTGCCCTCTGATATCTTGTGCATTGTTTATGAATAGGTTAGGAAATCCATCATCAAAACTCCTGTAACATGGTATGGTATATAGATATAATCATCAATTTATAAAGACAAAACCATAGCAATGAAAGGGATAAGAAAGAAAATGAATCAAGAGAATGAGATTTGGAACATCTGTTTGTTGATATCTAGTAATTGCAAGTACATTGCCCTAAATTTCTGGATAAATTCATTTTTCTGTGCCTCTCTGCTACTAATCAGTAGGTACTTTCAGCTATTGACATCACATTATTAGATCCTTCAACATCCATCTGCATGCATTTTAGGGGTTATCTTTTACAGCACAGGAAGTACTGGAATCGGAACTTATAGTGAAGAAAAATGTAACAAACAGCCTCTATGTTTAGTTTTTGTATTTTAATAGCACTATTTTGCAAAACCTAAGTCAAAATTGGGGTTTTTGGAGGACGGATGAAGTACGGCACAAATTGACACAGTAACTACGAAAAGAACATCACCATTCAACTCATCGAGCAATCGAATCTACTTGATATCAAAATCAGAGCTCCAATGACAAAACACTAAGGTGAAAGGGGAGTAAAACGAAGAATTTGAAAGGCTAATTCGCATAGATAAACGGAATGAAGAAGAGTTTAGTTTAGTTTATATAAAAGGGGTGAAAGAAGAAAGAAAGACCTCCAGTTGATGGATTGGAGCTGAATGTGGTCGGATTGAGCGGCGATTTTGCGAGCAAGTTCTTCGGCTTCGACGCAGTAGAAGAGAAGCACTTGCTTTTTGTTTGGCTTCTCCATCGTCTTCACTGTCGCCATGCAAACACAGAGAGAAATTAACGCAACTGTTACCTAATTCCAAAGGGGGAATAGACTACTAGACTTTGCGTTTAGAAAATGCGACATTGTGCTTAAAAAGCATGATTCCTGCCAATATGCTGCCACAATTGACAACCGAATATTTTTGGAAAATAAAAAACTTTTCTCAAGAAATCAAACTTTTGACCATTGCATTAAAAATGAGCATTTTATCCATTTATTTTTAGATATTATATTTATATGATTTACCTTCGTTATTAACGATATATGAGATTTCTTATAGAAAATCATTTCCTCAAGGAGTTGTCCATACTAAAATATGAAGTAGATATCAAAGTATGGCCACAAATATTAAGTTTAAGTCAAAAAATTAATGGTAATTTTGCAACATCAAATTATATTTTTGAAGTTGAGATTTTTTAATATATACCCTAAAGACAAATATAAGAAAACATTAATTGAACTATTAATTATAAGAAATGTTACCGTAGTTAAATGTGATAAACATTAATTATGTGTAATATTACCATAATTAAATATAAAATACATTAATTATAAACGATATTATTTATAATTAATATTTATCATATTTAATTATAGTAATATTTCTCATAGTTAACACTTCGATTAATGTTTTTTTATATATACGCTTATGACATATATTAGAAAATCTCAAATCACACAATTAATACAGAGTTTCAGTATCAATTGCAGGTAATCTTTAACTTTAAATCCTCCTGTATTTATGTTTTTTTTTAATATTATAGGTTATAATAATTATCATAGTATTAATAGATTTTGATTATATATAAAAAAAATGTATTTATAGGCCTGCTTTTTATTTTTATACAGACCCTTTAAAATCCTGAGTAATATAAAAATCAATACATGTTTTCGAGCAAAATATTATATTTCTAGTACTTTTAAACATAAAAAGGGTCTATCATATAGGACAATATTATTTTCAGTAGATACAATAAAGAGATTTAAATCCTAAATTGAACATAAATCAAGTGATATTTCTTAACTTACTCGAAGGTAAGTTTCCTGCTATTAGATGATTTTTTTATTTATGCGAAACATTTAAATAGAACAATAATAACCATCAAAGGGGGAAATCAGATGCAAAGCCCAATGTGAAGAAATTTGGGCTAGATATTGGGCCATACCGTTGGAGACTTTGATATCATTTTCCATTGTTGAAATTGCATTTGACATCTCATATGTGTTTTCATGAGCTGCGTGTTCAACACTCAAAAGAATACACAAAATATTATGGGGTGTTTGGCAAAAAAAAAAAAAAAAAAAAAAAAAAAAAAAACATATTCCTTATTAGCTTATAACTTATTAGCTTATTAGCTTATAAGTTAATAAGTAAGTGTATGGTAACTTATGAAAAAATGACTTATTAGAGGTTGCCCACCGGAATAAGTTATTTTCATCCAAACACTTTTTTAACTTATAGTGGTATGGAACCTAATAAGTTGTTTTAAAAAGCTTAGTCAAACACCCCTTATGTTGAGAATTAAACTTTGAAGTTAATATAATATTTACTAGGTGTAACACCCATGTATTACATGAGTTTATTTAAAAGAAAAATAAACTATGAAATTCTTAATATTTTGAGAAATTTGAATTTATAAGAAAAATTAGAAAAATAATGAGTTATTAAAACTAAAGTGTTTTTTTTTCTTTTTTAAATTAAACTACTAATTTAGATAAATAAACATAATAAACTAATAAGACTTTAATTTAAAATTTTTGAAATTAGAATAAATATCAATTAATGATATTGATATGCATTTATTACTATATTTATTGTAATTATTATATTTAAATATCAAGTGAAATTTAATAAAATGAAATAAAATAAAAAAAACAAAATGCCATATGGAAAAACATTAATTGAAAAAAACCTCAAAATGACATGTGGCCAAATCAATAAAAATGTGACATATGGTAAAAATATTTTCATTTATTAGTTTAGATTATAGTAAATTATCGAAATTGTTTTCATGCTCTGCTTTATCTTTTCCCCCCACTTGGAAGGCTTCTTTGATATTTTTTTTTATGATTTTAGGCTATGACCAATATTTTAAAACCAATATTTTAGTTTATGGAGTCCTAGGAGGAGCTAGGAGTCAGTGGTGACTCTTAAGAGTGGATAGGGAGTGTGTGCACACCTATTTGTGGTGGGCCTAGTGGTCTGAGAATCTCGTGCGCTCTTAAGGAAAAGTATAGGTAGGTGTGGAAGGTAGTATTAACCCGTGTTACTGAAAGCACATGATCCGTAGGCGTGTCAAGGAAGTCATGAGTTTTGTATAGAGTATGGTTGAGTGTTTTTGAGTTACGTTGTCTATGATTCTGACTCATCCCTTATTTATTTTCAGTATGGCGATGACGAGAGGTTCTAGTTCAGGCGTTGGGGTTCCCGAGATATTCAGATTGAGCGATGATGAGATTCGGGGGTTGATCTCTGCTCAGGTGACTGCGACAGTCAGGGAGGCGATTCCATAATTGTTCGGGTCTATCAAGACCACCATGATCGAGCTGTTTAATGAGTGTTATACCGTCGTCGCTGAAACTGTTGCGGCCGGACATCAGGGAGGAGTGTGACAACCCGAAACTTCTATCTTGTACACTTAGTCAAATTCAAGTAGTTCCAAGTCTCTAGAGTGGTTCTCCATTACATTTAGTGGTGAAATACCTTCATTTGACTCTGTTATGTGTCATTACGTGTTAATTAGGATCAAATCGTGTTCAAGGCTTCACTTGAACACCCAGCTTTCCGTATCGATCCTTCAATCAAACCACTTACCCGAGGTGAGTTCATACCCCCTACATTTTCTGTGTTTTTCATGTTTTCAGGTGGGGGGGGGGGAATACAAGCCAAACTCAAAGTATTTTATTAAGTTTTAAACTTATTAATACAGTCCAACGATTTCCACGTTTAATAACATACTCGGATATTTTATCCTTTTTGTTATATGTGGAGCATAAGGGAAACTGTTATTTTGGAAATCTAACTTCATAGCTTTCAGAAAGGTTTTACAAAGCATTTTCGATATCAACTCTAATAAACTATAATGGGTATAGTTTGGGATAACCCTCTAGGCAGTTTCTACCAAATCAGATTTCATGGATGAATATATATAAGCTATGACAGATTTAGTTTATGTTATATGTTTTCCCAGGAGTATAAAGTACATTTATTCAAGGATAATTACTGTTTTTATACTGTCTCTAGCTTGTAAACTAGATTATACAGAATTGTGAGGCTCTACTTTAATACTGTACCCTTAGGTGTACAGGGTTAAATCCAATCTCAGTATAACCAGAGTCTCCTGGAGGGAGAGCATGAGATTTGTGAATAGATCTATTCAGGACTGACAATCCCACACCCGAACTGTTAGCTACAGTTAGGCGGGCACGCCTGGGGTGAACAAATGTCATTTAGCTTAAACGCCTGAAGAACGTTATAAAGGTCTCTAGGTCATATCAAGTATGGTTATACGACTCGCAAATAAGTATAAACTAACTTTGGTTTACGGACTCTAATCTTCATTTGTTTTATTTTGAGTAATAAAACTACTTTCATATATACTGATAACAATTCAGGGATTTTCTAAACTTACATCTCTACCTCTAGGATGGATAACCTGTTTTAGGGAAAATATAGGATTTTCCCCGGGATAACACCGGCTTTTCTAAAACTGATGATTTATTATTCTACTAACGGATATTCATATTCATTCCATGACTCCTTGGATTGTGCATATCTAGTATGAACCGAGAAGTCATGGAAGGAATGGGTTTTCAAACACGCTTTTCATAAGAAAATATAGGATTTTCTTGAGGAACACTCTTCAAATAGGATCAAAGAACATTTTCCACCAAAAACTAAATGCTTATGAACTCACCAACTTTTTGAGTAATAAAACTACTTTCATATATACTGATAACAATTCAGGGATTTTCTAAACTTACATCTCTACCTCTAGGATGGATAACCTGTTTTAGGGAAAATATAGGATTTTCCCCGGGATAACACCGGCTTTTCTAACCTGTTATACGACTCGCAAATAAGTATAAACTAACTTTGGTTTACGGACTCTATTCTTCATTTGTTTTATTTTGAGTAATAAAACTACCTTCATATATACTGATAACAATTTAGAGATTTTCTAAACTTACATCTCTACCTTTAGGATGCATAACCTGTTTTAGGGAAAATATAGGATTTTCCCCGGGATAACACCGGCTTTTCTAAAACTGATGATTTATTATTCTACCAACGGATATTCATATTCATTCCATAACTCCTTGGATTGTGCATATCTAGTATGAACCGAGAAGTCATGGAAGGAATGGGTTTTCAAACACGCTTTTCATAAGAAAATATAGGATTTTCTTGAGGAACACTCTTCAAATAGGATCAAAGAACATTTTCCACCAAAAACTAAATGCTTATGAACTCACCAGCTTTTTGTTGATATTCTTTCAAAATTGCTTGTATTCTCAGGGAATCAGTAGATAGGTACCTTCCGAGCATTGTGAAGAAGTCGGAGCTAACAAGAATTTGTCTTTATACTTTCCTTATACTTTTGATGTATTCGAATCACATTTAAAATCGATGTAAACTTATTTAATTTTCATATATGCAATGTTTGGTTGTGTTTACTATGATTGCTATTATACATTGGTTGTGATGCTAAACATGACGTCCTCCACCCCGGAACGATTCCGCCATTTTGGTTTCGGGGTGTGACAGATTGGTATCAGAGCCCTTGTTTATAGCAAATTAAGTATACCGAACCTTACATGGTATACAACTATAAACACTAAGGGGCCTAAATTCTCTAAAATAAAAGTATATTTTTAAAATATAAAGTATTTTGTAGAGAGTATACTAGTATGCATACATAACAGAACCAGAGTCATAGATAGAACGAAACAAAAGTATTTGGATGTTGGGACACTGCGGTTAAACCTGGGTAGTTATGTAATCATGTCTAGGGTCAATATAGCCTGATCAACTATATTCATTCGAGACATGACCAACATGTGCTTGGGAGTGACTGTGGTGTTACAGCAAGCCTAAAACTTACCA